TGTCTCATATTGCTCTCAGTAGTTTCAATAACCCCACTTATTTCGTCTCTTATAATTGTATATATAATGACTTAAATATTCCACTTTCTTTCTTTATCAATCAAAGGCTTTAATTTAATTGATGATCAATTACTACTACTAGTGTAATTGTAAAAGAGCATAGCTCGAGTTTATAATACTCAAATTTGAGTTGGGGCATTTATCGAGCCAAACTTAAGTTAATAATGAGCTGCTAATTAACAAACTCAAGCTCCTGCACTAAGGCTAAAGTTTTCATTGAGCCGTTAAATCAGCTCAATTAACGAACTGACTTATAGAAAATGATATAAACGTTCGTATTTTCGAACATTAACTAATTAATCTCAGATCGTTAATTAGACGAATCCATGAGCGTCTCGTTTAGTTTGCCAGTTCTAATTAGTAGTACAAACTAATTAACACACACCTTATTCATTTTTTCTCTCACGTCACGTGATTATTTCCTTAATGACTTTCAAATATTGACATTAGGACAAGATTGGGAAAACAAGGAGTTAGTGGTAATAAATTTTAATTAATTTTAAACGAAGATATAAAAATCAAACATTTATTTCATACACGTATCGAGAGAATAATAAATGATAGTTGTAATTAAGACAACATTAATAACATAGTTAGTTATCCAGCCGAGAAGACGTGTCTTTACAAGAATCTATATATGAAGTGTAGAGAGTTGGCAAATATAAATCCATGCAAATGATAACACGTGCATTTGCTTCCTCTGACTTAGAAGTACATGTGTGTACGGTAACACGTCCCGCTCAAAATTGGCTGCAAATAACTAAATCGGGTTTTACTTAATACCGATGATAGTAAAAACGTAGATTTTTCAGATGGATCGATTTTTCGAACGAAAAAAATTAAAAATAGATATTTATATTGACAGGAAACTATCAAATTAATCGGGTTCAGTTATCGATTTGTAGGTTGATAATATTTTATAATCTTCACACGTGCGTACTTGTAAAGCGTTCGAGAAATTTTCGGTGTAAAATTTCAGAAGATTTATTCCAACTCAGCACAAGGACCTATTTATGATGTCATCATATCATATATGATATTCGTGAGCTTCATACTTTTTATGTTATTTGTAAATTATGATCTATCAATCAATATGAAAGCATGTGTATAATTATTTAAGACATATGAGCGTAACCCTTGACAAAGCCAGTTTAATGACTTGATGAGGATTAGGACTAAAAATAATGAAGTCAACAGCAATTTATGTTGTATATTTCTAGTCTTATATTTCGGTTAAATTAATGGTTGACTTCCATATTCCAGATCTAATACGCAACATCCTCTTTAAAGCCAGTAAATAATTAGCCTTTTTTTTTTTAATATTTTCCCTNTTTCTTCTTTTTGGTACATCCCTTGAAGACTTTTAAAAATAATATCTATATTGATCATACTTATTAAATGGGCAGGCATGGTGGATTATGCAAATAATCGTGGTTAATGACTTAGGCACTAATAGTAATATGGCTGATAAAGGAATCAGTTCCTCGTGAACTCAATTTGTTAAGGCTCAAAATTATGAAATTTTATGTAATTTTCTATCGTTCGGCTTGGTAAGGCTGAAACTCTACTCGTTAATTTCAATAAAACCGAGCTCAAGCTCCTTTGTTGGTTCATTGTTAACAAGCTGAGCTCGACTCAATAAACAACAAGCTGAGCTCGACTCAATAAAAGCTCTCGAGCTCGAGCTGTAATATAGTAACTAAATTTTACAATGCATTAAACAGAAAAATGTTATAACGTAGTGACAATTTTGCTTTAGAGGTCGCATTTATTGACTAGAGATTATTGGGAGTTCGGACCAAAAATCCGATTTTATTTTACAAAAATTAAACACACCAGGAAATTTATTTCAACCATACGAATTATCCACAAAATTATAAATAATTTGCCTTTCATTCTTGTTCCAATCATCAGATGCTCTTCTGTAAAATTTCGTCGGCAATCGGGAAGTCCGGCAATATATCCACCGGAACCTGGAATTATAAAATTACCAAATTTTATAGCCAGAAGCTAATTTAATCGAAGATCAATATACGTAAGTTTAAGAATTGGATTTCAAAAATAATAATGTCGATGATAATTAGATAAGTCGGTTCGATTTTTTTCCAGAAATGCACTATACTGTCTGAAGAAAAAGATAAAAAAATAAAAAATAAAAAATGATATGATACCTCAATGTCTTGCAATTTATCGAGCGCGGATTTTAGCGGCTGTGTAAGCACACCGTGCTTTGAAAGGAGAGATTTTGCAGCGTTTTTATCGCCTTTTCCTTGTATAGTAAGAATCTCCCGACTCAATCTCTCGACTGCTTCCTCGACCTTTCATCAATCGTAAATAATTTATGAAAATATACGATTAGGAGTTAAAATTATTGGTTGTTCGAAATATATGATTGAAATAATTTGAAATTATAGAATAAAATGCTTCGAAAAAATAGCCGGTACCTTCTCAAAGTCGACAGAAAATGTTCCGTCAGGATGCATAAGAAACGCACCCTTTTCGAATAAATAATTGAACTGCAAAGCTTGCCCTTTCCTGGACATAACTCACAATGTACAAAAATAAATATATAAACAAAAAATATTACCCATATTAAGCTTAAGTAAAATTGCAGTAAAATCTGATAAATAAACAAATAGAGAAAAAAAAAAAAAAAAGGCTTACCCGTGAGCTTCCTCCAGGCCGAAACGTACAGAGCGGAAGCAACCGGCAAGGAACGAGACGTACATGGATTTGATCAACGTATTCGGCAGTAAATTCTGGCCAGATACTAAATATCAATCCGCCTTTAAATGGAACCCATAAATTAATCCGAATGGCTAAATTGCATTTTTAGTCTTGGTGGTTTAACGTATAGCAATTTTAGTCCCAAGATTCTAACATTTCGCCTTTCGGTCTAGTGATTTAGTATTTTGCCGCAATTTCAGTCCTTGAGAACTGAATTGCAACAAATACCCAAATTTATGGATTTTTTATTAGCAATTTAAGTCCTATAACTTAAAATTCTGTTGCATTTTCAGTCTGTAATTTTAAATTTTGTTGCAATTTCAGTCTGTGACTGAAATTGCAACAAAATATTAAATCACAGAACCAAAAAACAAAAAAGTTGGAACCTTGTGACTCAAATTGTTATGACGTTAAACCATCAGGACTAAAAATGCATTGCCTAATCCGAATTGGCCTAAACTAACTTGTCGAGGGAGTCAAATTTGTTGAGTGATCGCAAATTAAAATGAAACGAAACTGTAAATTATGCAGTAGTTACACGATATTCATATTACAAGATATTCATTGATTATCAATTTATTTTTTAAAAAACATAAATAAATTTGCTCCATATGGAGATAGGGAGTGCTTGCTACAAAGATTCAATTACAATAATAAAAAAAGGTTTTCTACCTAAATGAAGCCGAATTTCAATGACATAAACCAAAAAAGTTACCCTTTTTGGTAGGGAAACAAAGAGCTACCTCGTTAATAAGAAACCGTAGGGCCCAAAGCCCAACAATGTCAGCTTTAGCTTCTTCCATAGCCGAGTGAAGTTCTTGCAATTGCTGTGTCATGCATGAAAAGCATTTGATTATAAATACTTAATAATGAGATACATTGAATAGTTAACCAAATAATAATAATAGTTAAAAAAAACGAGATAAAAAAAATGTGGCTATTTCGTTATATAAAGCACGGGCTTACAAAAAAGCATACCAATCTCACGGTTGATTGTTTCCCATCGGGCAGCGTTATTGTATGAGGCCCAATGCCGTGAACACACTCGTGACAAATGGTGTGAGTGAAAAATGAGTCGAAATCCACGTAACTACGTTGTTCCTCAGCTATGCATGCATTGGCTATAGGTTGAAGAATAAGCTCAAATCTGTTCAAAAATAGATTTTAATATCTAATAAGATCAAGGATTTAATTATCGACATTTTTTTTTTCGAATTACGATTTGAAAAACTTTTTAGAAGAGAGAATTTTTTACTTTGCTTCCGAAACATTCTTGAGCATGACCATAGAGGTCCCTCTGTCTTTTACAATCCTCTCATCATTGGGAAGATTAAACGCAACAGTTTGTGGGCCCTTCACGTCCTGCAGAAAAACACGAACCAACAATAAAAAACATTATCGTATTTTCGGAACTATCATATATAAGATGGAACAAAAAAAAAATATATTTATCATTTTATTAGTATATGACAATTTGTGCTTCTGATTGTTCTTATTTTGAGTCATCTGTCATTTAACTTTCAGAAATAAATACTTTTTACTCTAATTAGCACAAGAAATGAAGAAAAAAGAAAGAAAGAAAGAAAAAACAACTGACCCCTGAATTGTAAATTAAACGGATGACTCGAATCGGGGCTGCAGTCACGTCTTCTGACTTGTAAACACTGTCCACGGGGAGATTCTTCTCCAAAACCTAGAATGAACAGAATTGCAAAATATACTAGTACAATACACGTGTACTAAGGTTACTTGTTACGAAAATTATATTTAAAATTAAATATAATAACAACAAAAATTGTTTTAGTTTTTAAATACTTTTTTGAACGAATATATTATTATTTAAATTTAAAATGACACTGTCACTTACTCGACTTACCATTTTATATTATATTTTTTTAATTTATATCAGATAATTATTTTGTAATTATGTTAGTTTAAATAAATTTATTTTTACGAATTAATATATAAAGGTAATCTAATTTTAATTATAAAGATAAATAAAATTATTTATTTATTTTGCATGTATAATATAAATGTCAAATCGAAACTCACCAAGATAAGAGTAATTTGATCTATTATATACAAAAAATTGTTAATAAATAAAAAATTTATTAACTTTTGAATATATTTATAATTTAAGTTAGTAAATTTGTTATAATTTTAAAAGGAATATGAAAAAAAAAAGTGAGAAAAAAATTATACCTTATAAACTACGTCTACAATAGAAAATATATTAAAACATAATTAATGCTCTAAAAAAGGACAATAAATATTTATGGATATTCCAAACTTAATTACTTTTGGATTGGAAATAAATTAAAATTCATCCAAGCCAAACAACAAAGCTTAAAAATTTGTCAAATAGGATCCCGAAGCGTGCGAGCCTACCACTTAGTATCACTACATTCGGGAAATTATATATAGGGGGATTACTAAATTAAAGGCAACTAACAAAATATGGCACCTGCAAATTGTCGCCAAACAGTTTGATTTGAGCTGTTGCCTCATCATCCTTGATTCCAATGAACGCCTCGAAAGTGGCCTACAGTGAAAATTAACTAACAAGAGTTACATAACACATTAACAGAGGAATTAAAGCTTTAAGTACTTTTTATCTTTTTACTTGAAGTTACATAAAATTCATCATTTTTTAATGATATTTAAATCTTTGATGTCACTTTTACAGTCGGCACGATTTTTACTATGCAAAAAACTGAAAGATGAGATCATTATATCACAAAACTACGTTGAATGACGTCAGCAAAAATAATACCTTGTATCCAAAAATTGTATCTTCATACGTCTCGTATGGGCCGATAGTGACATCCAGCTTCGAATCCTTGAAGGTAAAAAATCAACAGGATAAAAAATTATAAATAGTTGCTTTTCCGTACTTTCATTACATAGCAAATTAACCACATTGTTTATAGTAATCTAAAAGAAAAAAGGATCACGAAATGTTGTCTAAAAAAAACGAACTAACCAATTCCATCCACGCAATATCCGAATCATAATATTCATTCGATAGGAAAGCATCAGCCTTGCTATGCAAAAGCGTCTTCAAACTGCACCAAAAGATTCACTGTTTTAGTTTTTATTTTTATTTTTATTTTTTTTTCTTTGAATTTCATGAACGTGCAACAATTTTACCTGGAAGAGCTAGCTGAGTTCCCAGCCTTATGCAGCAAATCAGAAGCTTTCTTGAGGAAAGCATTGTATTCTTCCGAGTAAGGGACAATATACAAATCGTGAGCACCATTAGTGCTATTATTAGAGGTGGTGTTTGGCAAAAGTGACTTATCCAATATTCTCTCGCTTTCCCTTTTGATAACACTGAAAAAGCCCGTTGCTTCTTCCTGTTTTTCTTCGGGAAGACTATTTTTCCACAATTCGAATTCCTATATAAGAAGAAAGCCATAAATATGCTATACATTGAAAAGATCTGAAAGATGAAATCATTTTTTATTTTAAATTCATTTAGCATAAATGTTATAATCACATATTTTATTTACCGTTTTATCCATATCCGGTGGATAGAAATTTGCACCAGGTGGAATTGTAACAGGAAATGCCGTTCTGTATTCAACTCCCTTCCATCCACTCACTGGCTTAGTAGCTTCCGGAAGAAGCTTCACAGCCGAGTCTGCAGTTGACAAAAATGCCTCATTTTCATCCAAAGATGACCTAAGAAAAAAAGAGTAAGATTTAGTGTAACAATATATGCACATAGAAATAATTGAAATGGTACATAAGAGATATTCGCTAGGGACATCTGGAATTTTTTTTACTAACACAATTGGTTATCTTAAATTAATAAACCAAAGTTGAATGAGGACAGAGGAGTTTTAATAATGCAGTGGCAATATTAACTATTAAGAAAAAACAAAGTAGCATCCCAATATATTTATTTCTTTCCCAATATGCTTATAACCAAAATGATGAATGTATATCTTTTAATTTTCATGATTTTATACCAAAAAGAGGAGAGAAGTAACTAAGCAATTATTACACTAAGAAAATATTAACTACCATGGGCTTTTGTTGACAAGATAATACATCCATTTCAATTTGTTAAGGTTAGATTCATCTGCATGCAGCTGTAGCCAATCTCTTAACGATGGATTGCTGTACCAAACCTGATTTGTGCAAACAAGAAAAACAAAGAGAACAAATATTAACCTCCAAATCAACTAAAAAATTCCGAGGGACTTTATTTTATACAAAGTAACATAGATTAAGTTATTACTTAAGAAGAACTAATAAACTTTTGTTGGACATTGTGGATAAACATGGCTAGAAATAGAAAACCTGAAGGAGGAAAATTTCATCGATTAATTTTGCAGCTTTAACAAGCGAAGTCAGAGCTTCCTTGTCGCCATCACTGAGCCCCACCAACTGTTGGCCAAAAGAGAAAAAATGTTGGAAAAAGAAGCATTTTGAGTGCCACAAGTGATGTTAGTGTTACTTTTCATATGGGAAAAAAAATCGATTGAACTTTATGAACTCATAAGTTAATTAAGTGTACTAAAATACAAAGTCTCAACAAAGATAAGGATAGTTAAAAGCTAACGCTGTGAAAACTCTCTTGTTGCATAAATTTAAAAATTTTAGACAAGAATTCATGAATTTAATCTAAAAGATGAATTTACTTAGCTACGCAGTTGTATTTATTAGGGTGTGTTTGTATATAAAATAACTCAATCCATACATAAAATCTAACTCAACTTTAACTCAACTCCCACTATCCTCAATATTATCAATATACTTAAACAATACCAACCAATAATTCTTACACATCACATCAACTTTAATTTACTATTAATTCACTCACATAATTTTATCACTTCACATCATCTCTCTCCTACTTTTACATCAAATCAACTTTAATTATTTTATTCTAATATAAAATCAAAATATCACTAACGACTAACCATACCACTTTTTTCAAAATCAACTCTGGTTAACCAAAAAAACTAATTTTGAGCGGATATATTTGTATACAAACACGCCCTTAGACAAGAATTCATGAATTTAATCTAAAAGATAAATTTACTTAGCTACACAGTCGTATTTAGTGGAGAAACTTAATAAACCTCTGCATCAAGGGAAACACGAGCATAACGGTTGAGCTGCTTTTGTAGACCCAATGCGCGTGTTTCATCATTTTGTTTGTACCTGCAAATAAATAAGTTGTACATTCAAACTGTGCTCATTTCTACAAGGTACAAACAATAAATCTACAAAAGAAAGTAATATCTTAGCAAGAAAATACGACAAAAAACGTGTAGAGCATTTCATGACAAACCTTTTAGACAAAATTTCAAAGAGCTGGCCGTATTGGCCATCGACATCATAAGGCACGTATTGAGGATCTTCTTTTGCTAACAAGCTTTTGTACTCTTCCAAAGATACATATTTAACAGCTGAAACTTCAGATTCCTTCAAAGAACAAATTATCATATAAATAAAAGCAGCATTACAAAGTTCTTTTAATGATAAATATAAACCTCCAGACCTGAAGAGTAAAGGCCTCCAATGGAATCGGATCTATTGTAGTGACAAGATACACGTCGTTGTATTCATTGTTAATATATTTCCCATCATTTATGGTGCTACAGGAAAAGCATAAATTTATCGTAAATATTGGGCAGAAG